CCATCAGCACGGGTGAACTGTACGTGTAGGAACTGCAGAACTGGAAGGATACCATCAGCACGGGTGAACTGTACGTGTAGGAACTGCAGAACTGGCATGTGCTCTGTGGTGCGTGTTCTCACCAATTAAAACCAAACAAACCCACGGCCACTGAGTCCCAACTCACGGACACCCTACACGCCAGAGTAGAACTGCCCCCGTGGGTTTCTGGGGCGAGCAATCTCCGCAGGAGCCGATAGCCTCACCTTTATCTCTCGGACTGAATTGATCATAGGCAGTTGCAGATTAAAAATGGGGGATGAAATGGATAATTATCCACACCCCTATGTGTTCACACAGGCTGCTCTAAGCAGTGGAGAAACTGGTTATATTTAGGGAGGGGCATTCAGGAACTGGGAGTTAGGGGTGAAAGGGAGAGTCACTTTTGATGGTAAACATTTCTGAAACACAAGTTTTTTTTTCTATATACAAGCATTCTTTAAAAATAAAAAATTCAAAAAATAAAACTGGTAGGTTTTTCTCAGGCATAGTAATTCTGAGACTACTTTGTAAGCATTATAGAAATTGAGCAAATGAGAACGTTCACTGATGATGTTGGGAGCCAGGTTTCATTCTGCTTTGCAGGGAAAGAGAACTATGGAACAGGGAATGTCTGAGAAGGACCATGGGTTGGAATTGGAGGTTTCCAGTATCACGATGAACTCCGGTTTGACTGACAGAGCTAAATACACAGGTAGACAAGACAGATAGAAAGTATGTCTGCTGACAGAACCCGGAAACAATGAGAACTGAACAGCAACATTGATCTTAGTTTTCAAATACCATTCCCCTCGGAAAGAACCAGGTCACCTTGGAGAAAGGTACAGCTTCTTGTGCCAGAAAATGAAGATGTGCTTTAAAAATATATGAATGAATGGAAACATGTCAGGAAGACACAGGAAGGGAAAGAATAATCTTTTCAACAACTAGATCTCCACATACAAACACAGGAAGTTGTCCCCTGTACCCCACCATACACAAAAAACTAAATCATAATGGATCAGTGACCTAAATAGAAGGATACAACACAGATATAAATCTTCATAGCCTTGGAACAGGCGGTGATTTCTCAGGTATGACTTGATGCTGTGCTCTTAAATCGTCCATCACAAAAAAACGAGGTTCAAGTGAAACTGCTTTTATGATAAAATTCACTATGACCAGAGAGAAACTTCCCAGGTGATGCCACTGAGTGCACTAACTCAGAGCTAGTTGTTCAATGCTCGCCTAGTGGGGAGTGGGAGCGGGGAGAATGCGTACCATGAAAGCTCCGACCATGGGAGATTTTCCCCATTTTCCCCATTTTGGGGGGGTACCCCTTATTCACAATAGCCCAAATGTCCATCAAAAGGTGAGTGGATACACAAAATGTGGTGAACAGCCATGTGAAGGCTGAACTTTGAAAGCATTCTGAGCGAAAGAAGCAAGACACAAAGACCACACTTGTACGATTCTGTATATATGAAAATCCAGAATGGGAAACAGAAAGCAGATCAGAGGTTGCAGGGCCAGGGGTAAGGATGAGGGTGAGGGGAGATGGAATGGGAAGTGACTGTGAATGGGCCCAGGGTATCTCTGTAGAGTGATGAAAATGTTCTGGCATAAGATCATGGTGGGGATGGTTATACAAATCCACCAAAGCAAAAACCAATCTCACTGCCATTAAGTTGACTTCAACTCATAGGACAGGGTAGAACTGCCCTGTGGGTTTCCAAGACTGTAATTCTACACCCACACACACACACCAAAACCATTTAATTGGGAGCTAATACAGATATTATATCGTCCCATAGTTCAATCACATCAAGCAGTATTGTTCAATTGCTACTACAATTAATTTCAAAACATTCTTTTCTTTCTTGAACTCCTTGACATCAACTCCCTTTTACCCCTCCCCCGCAAGATTGTAATTCTTTATGGGAGTAGAAAGACTCATCTTTCTCCCAAAGAGCGCCTGATGGTTTCAAACTGCTGACCTTGATGTTTGCAACCGAACACACAACCACTACACCACCAAGTCTTCTCTGTACAACTCTGGAAAGTCTAGCAAAAAGCACTGAGCTGCGTACTTTACATAAAGGTGACTTTCATCTCAATTTAAAGAAAAAGGGCAAAGGATCCAGGCTGAAGGGGTTCCCTTCGGTCAAATTTGGCACAATCTGAGTACCAAAATAAACGCCAGTACTGTCCACTGAGTAAAATAAGAAATCTGTAAGTTGACAAACATACACGAAGGGACAAGGGAAAGTTCTTCCTTACAGTAAAATACCAGCAATGGAATGTCGAAGGGAAGCTCGAGCAGTGGGGGAAACACAAACCACCATGTTGCAAGCAGCACGGCAGTATGTGATTCAGGCATGAGTCACCGCGGATGTCAAATTAGTGGGCTGAAGTCTGATGATGAGCAAGACATTTATATAGTCTCAAAGTATGTTGCCACAAATTATTCATTAATTACAAAGAAAAAATTAAGAACTTTATGGTAGAAGCTGGCAGGCACCACCTTATAACCAAGCGATCAAAGTTAACAAAGCTAATAATGGGACGAGTCAAACAGCACGCGCCTCTTTATATGAAGAACTGAGAACACAGTGGTTCAGAAGCACCTCTGCCAAAAATATACAACCTGCGTTGAATTGCGAGGAAGCGCTGGACAAATTTAAATGGAGACTCAGTCTGCAACATACCTGACCTTAATGCTTCAAACTGTCACTGTCACAGGAGACACAAGAGGCAGAGGACGTGGCCTAGATTAAAAACCTAGAGAGACACACGCAATACCAAGTGCAGCGCATGATCCTGGATTGGATCCTGGACTGGCAAACTAAACTGCTCTGTGAAAATTATTCGGACAAGAGCAAAAATGGAATATGACCTGAATTTGTTAGATAATATTATCCCAATATTTTTTGTCTTGATTCTAGGAATTGCACTATAGTTATGTAAGATAATGATAATGTCCTTGATCTTGGAAAATGTACACTGGGGGTTTAGGAGCAAAGGGGCATGCTATCTGGAACTGCCATTCATATGGTAAAAATAATAATAGCATGCAAGAGGATGATACAGCAAATATTGCCAAATAGTCACAGTTGGTGAGTCTGGGTGAACCCATGGCTGTCTAAGGATCTGCAGCTCTATCTACTGTTTCTCACCACAGAAAGACAAGGCAGTTGCTCCCAGAGACTGAGAGTCTTGCAAAGCCTATAAAGAGCAGTTCCATGCTGTCCTGTAGGGTCACTATGAGCCAGAAGCATTTTTTTTTTGAGCCAGAAGCATTTTGATGGCAGTGACTCTTTTGGGAAAGCGTGAAGCTCGTCTTGGGACTTTTCTGTAACTCTGAAATTACTTAACAATGACAATAAGCTCAAGACACTTAATCATTTCGATTGGCTTTTGAAATGGCTGAGATGTCCATTACTCCCCTTTGAGGAAGCCACGTCCCCACATCCTAACCATCATCCTTCTAGAACCCTGTCACCAGGTGACCTCTGGGTCTGAGCAGTGCCCAAGGCGCTGGGGGAGTGGGAGGCTCACATGGGAGGACACGCACCTGCGCTGGCCAGCTCAGCCCTCAGCTGGCCCACGTAGTGCAGCAGCTCCTCCAGGCTCTGCTCGCAGTGCTGCCCGTAGGTGAGGAACTTCTGCAGCACCTTGTCCAGCTCTCTCTCCACGCACGCGCACTGCTCCATGGTGGCCTGGGCCTGGAAAGCAGGGGTCAGCTGTGTCAGGCGCCGAAGGCCCAGGGGCAAAGCTCAGTCAGAGCATCTCCTCAGGTCCCCTCAGCAGGCCCGTGTGTCAACAACGTCCACATTCCCTGCTTAGAGATCTGTCCACCACTCTCTATCAGGTTGGGTTTTTTAAACTGCGATGAGAAAATGACCCCTTTTGCACTCGGACTCGAAAATGACCCTTTTGCACTCAGGACTCATCCCCCTTTCTCAGCCCAGGAACGCACTCACGACTTGCCTAACGAGGCACCAGTAACACTGCCTGTTGCCAAGTGCTTATTTCATGGCCGCCTTCTCTTACAGTAAGGGGGTCTGGTTTTCTGCCTCCTCTCAAGCAGGCCCCAACTTATAACACATTCAAGTTACAACAAACTCTGCTTCTGTCTGGGTTTTCTCTTTTTTTGTGTGTGTGTGGGGGGGTGCATCTTCTTGTTAGTAATATGTATGTATTACAAATATCTCTACATTTATACGTAATGTTTTCAACCCTCAAAGACAAATAACGATGGCATTTATAAAGATACTGAAATAAAAGGCAATAATAATAGGAAAACATTAATTTAAAAAAATTTTTAAAGGAGGTAAACATGCTGCACCTCTTTAGAGTGCTGAAAAGCAAAGATGTCACTTTGAGGACTACGGTGCGCCTGACCCTAGCCACGGAATTTTCAATCACATGTGCATGGGAACGTTGGACAGCGAGTAAGGAAGACCACAGAACCGATGCGTCCGACTGACAGCACTGGTGAAGAATGCTGAGAGCGGCACGGGCTTCCAAAAGGACAGACACGTCTGCCTAGTCCAGCCAGAGTGCTCGTCAGAAGCAAGAATGACGAGATGTCAGCTCACGTAATTTGGACATGCTGTCGGGAGCGACCAGTCCCTGGGAAAGGACATTATGTTTGGGAGATGGACAGGGAAAAAGAGGAATGCCCTGGACAAGATGGACTGCCACAGTGGGCGCGACGATGGGCTTGAGCATGACAGGAGTCGTGAGGGTGGTGCAGGGCCAGCCAGTGTCCCACTCTGTATGCAGGGCCGCTATGAGTCAGAACTGACTCAATGGCCCCTGACAACTGCTTATGGTCGGTCGGGACTGACCGACAGAGCGGTCCCCGTCGTAAGCCAGGACTACCTGCAGTGATATGAGCCATGGAGGCAGCCCTTGAATGGCTGATATTTAGAAATGTAGCCTCAAGATAATGGCTGGCTGACAGACTGCCTTGCCAGACTGGCCTCGCTCTCCTGCCTGCCGGCCTCTGCTCCCTCTCTCCGTGCTCCTCAGACAGGCCACCCTGTGGCTGGCCAGAGCACCTGTCCTCTCCAGGATCCACGCCCGTGAACCTGCTGCTTCCCCTCCCCTGCCTCGCCCCTCCACACTACTCGAGAAGCCGGCGCACCCTTCCCACGCTAGCGCAGCGGTCACCCAGCTCTGTGAGCAGCTGTCCCTAGCCTGCTCCCACCCTGGCTCCCTTTCCACAAACCTTCTGGCAGTTTCCATCACTCTCCGAGGGCCTGCCTCCCCACAGCAGCACTCTTGTTCTTGCCACGTCACGATGCCACTAGAAGAAAAGTGCTCGGCCACTGAGGCCCCTGCCTAAGTCCCGGCTTCCCTGGGTCCCTGCTAAAATCCTCCCCTCCCATGGGGGAGACCAGGGTTTGACTCCTGGCCAAGGACTCTCATTGGCAGCTACCCCTCGTCTCAGGGGAGGCTTGTGTTTTGCCGTGATGCTCAGCAGGCTCCAGCAGAGCTTCCAGACTGCAACAGGCTAGGGAGAAAGGCCTGGTGATCTCCTTCTGAGAACCCACCAACAGAAATGCAGTGGATCGCAAAAGTCTGATCTGCAACAACTGGGCTAACAGCAACACTTTCTGTAGGGTCAGTGAGCTGGAGACAACAAGGGGCCTCCTCGCCGGTAGAAGCCATTCGTCATGTAAGTCAGGTCTGGAGAGCGCACCTATGGAAACCTTGGCAGCATTTACACACACCCAGAGCGACGCCAATGACCCGACACCAATGACCCGTCTAAGCCTGGCCCTGAAGGGGGAACAGGAAACAGAATGAAGTCTAGACAGAATGCCGTTTCATTCCACTAGAAATAGGTGCATACAATGGCGGACACATGCAGCGAAAAGATAACCCGATACTTCCACCGAACACCTGGGAGTGGTTTTCTACCGCAGGGGGGAAGGGAGGAGTGAGGATGAGCCGGAGCACACAAATAAACACAACGTGCCATGAACTGAGGCGTATGATAAACTCAATGCAAATCTGAGCAAGGAAGCCAGCCAGCGACGGAGGAAAACAATGGCTTGGGAGGTATTCCACCCAAAAAGCCCAGGAGCCTATCTTGGTCTGTGGAGAGTGGGCCACTGCGTGAATCACACACTGTCGTCTTCTCCAGGCCCAAGGATGTCCCAGTGTGCGCACGCATGTGTTTGACCAAATCATTCCGTGACCAATACGAGTGCAGATGGCTGGAAGGTCATGTCCACCGGTCCCCGACCCGCCTCTTCAAGGTCTCGTGTGTGCAGAGATCATCCGCCACGACAATCCCTCTAAAACACACATTGGATTTTGTCACCTCTCGGCTTAAAATCTGCCACGGCATGACACAGGAGCTCTGTGCAGTTGGTACGTTCGCCTCCTCTGCACAAGCTGTTTCTGGGTCAGGGTGCCCTTTGTCCTTCCAGGGGAGAAGCCAGGGCAGAGTTTAATCATCGGCTCTCTGTGAAAACTCACGTCCCCATCTGCTTCATTCATTCCCCTTGGCAAGCGTCTCTGTCCAGGGCACCCGCAGGGCACAGTAGCAACACCTGCTTAGGTCTCTCTCTCTCCCTCAGAAGATGGTGAGCTCAAGGGCTAGAGAGCCCAGGCTCACTCCTCTCTCTCTCCATTAATGCCCAGCCAGGGGAGGGTCCCCTGCCGCCCCTTAGGGCCTCAGTAACCATGTGCTGATGAAATGACTGCCTCCCTTCCTTCACTCTTGGGCCAAGGGGACTGCCTGCTCACCTGGGGGCTTGGGGGAGAAGTGGTGAGAGTGGAATATTAAAATCATCACCAAGAGAGGCATGAGGGTTTTGTGTCCAGTCTCCAGCTCCCTGAAACAAGAGGATCCCTTCTGTGGGGCGGGAGACAGGAATGGAAGTTTGGGAAAATCACAGAAAAACCCCCTTGGCCTGGCACAGAATTGGAAGGCTCTATGGACCCAATCTTAGACTTTGGTACCCTTCACTCCATTCATTCTCCATCCACCCTACATGGCACTCCTCTGCTTAAAACCCAACAGCCTGCCATTGTATTCTGAATAAAATCCAAGCTTTCTACCACCTACCAGGTTCCAGGTGAGCCAACCTCCAACCTCCACCTCCAATCTCCAACGGCTTCTCCTACCACCCTGTCTCTTACTCACCAGTCTGGCCACACTAGCCTTTCTGGTCCTTGACAAACAGCATCAAGTTCATTTCTGTCCCCTCTGCCTGAAACACTCCTTCTGATTGGAGGTGCAGCATCAAAGTCTTCCCTTGGGACACAGCTTATGAGAATGCTGCCCAGTGCACCCCACCACCACGACAGTCACCCTCTCATTGACTCCTTCATTGCAGGTCCCCACGTGAAGGTTCCCATCTTTCTTTTCTCACTAACAAAACTGAAGTTAGGAAACTGTCCATCACCCCCCACCCCCCAGCACCACCCCCGGGCGAGCAACCCCTACGGAGAGTCTCATCGGCACCACTGAGCAAACGACTGGCAAACTCCTACTCATCCTTCAAAAACCCCTGCTCTGATGTCCTGCCTGGACCGCACGCGGCAGGCACCGTGTTACCTCCGACTCAGCCCGCGGCACTAGAACGGGTCGCTGGAGTCCAAATACGCTTCCAGGCGGCTAAGACTCTCCGAGGCGGGGCCCGGGTCGGGACAGACCGTAAAACTCCAACTCCGCCCCGGGCGGACCCCTGCGAAGCAAACAAGCCCGAGAGCCGATAGACG